CTCTCGTTATCCTCCCAGTAATTATTCATCTCCCATCCTGTCCCAGCCTGTTTCTTTTAGCATCCTTTTTCCATGAGCTGACATCTGCTTTCTGAGGGCAGTTGTCTTTTAGTGGGACATGAAAGCAATGTATCAAAAATCAAGGTTTACCCTTGCTGAACGTTTGGCATGCATTGCTGTCAGTTTACATCTCTGTGGGTAAGCATGGAGGAAGACAGGCTATTCCAGTTAAAAGGAAATATTCCCACAAAAAGAAATGGATATAAATTTTCTACAGCCAGCTTTCTGCAGTGTTCTAGGGAAAAGCCCAAATAGCTTAAAGATAGATTCTGATATTCTTGCTGTGATTACCTGCAGCATCAAAGAACTGATGTGGCTGAGGTTCTTTCAGGTTGTGCTTCTGTGAGACAGACTTCAATTTCTAACTTTACATTACATATCCCTCTACTTTGGGAGGTCTCTGGTGGCTGTGTAGTTCTTATGCAGTATAAATCCATATGCCTAATGCAGTCTGTCATATTTGGAAACTCACTGCTCTTGTATTCATGACATGCAAGCATCTGTCACTCAAACCTGCTCATAAATCTAAATTCACTAATAGGACTTCTACATGTCACTATGTATCAAGGAGTAGAGTGGTGACCCTGGAATAAATGGCAACAATGATGTAGTTGCAGCTTATAAAGTGGCAAAAATTCTGTTGCACCAGAAAGCTGAAATGCCAAACTAACAGAAACTCCCCAAACTCTGCAGGTTAGCAGTCATTTTCAGTGAGAGGAAAATTAAAAAGGTAAAAAATTAAGCAAATATATCACTTTTTCCAAACCCAAATTATTACCACCAAGCTTGAAAACATGTTCAGTTTTTATGATTCCCGCAATCTAAATTGCCAGACCTTTCCATTTCTGTCTGCTTGATTTTCTCTTGGAGGAGAAAGAAAATATAGAACAAAATTATGTGCTAGACTAAAATGTTATTTTTGTCTAAAAATAATAAAGTAAAAAGTAGTGTTGTTATAATCCACATTAAGGCTGTGACAGCTGTTGTCTGAATTTTAGGGATTCTGAGCTCCCTCCAAAAGCAATGGGACACTGGTGAGCAGGCACTTGGGATTTTACCTGGGACTGAGATTTCCTAAATGAAAGTTACTAAGGAAGTGCTGAGCAATATTCACAGATACTGGTATCCTTTGACCCTGCTCTCTTGAGCTGGCTGAGCTCTGCTGGCTTGTGCTCCAGGCAAAGTTACAGTGGTTTTAGTAGTGTAGCTAATTGACTGAGGCTACAGCATTAACTTGCTGTTGATGAGGTTTAATTGCAAGTGCAGAGTTTGCTGCATTAACATCATTTTCTGAGCACAAGCTGAGTGCTTGCCACAGCTGGCTGCATTGTGGGCTAATGACAGCTTTCCTTCTATCCAAGCTAAAACAACATGAAACTGCAAGAAAACCGTTTTTGTCTTTGTGTGTGTGAATGATTTTTGTTCTTCCTTTCAGAGCATGAAGACACTTCAGTGTGGCAGTTTGGTAGGTCACCTTGTTCAGCAGATCCCAGCATTAGGACTGGATTTAACTCCAGCTGAGAATCAGTGTAACTCAATGCCCATCAGACTCTGGTAACACTTAGGCATGGTCTTGAATATTTTCTCATACCCTTTCTGTAGAAGAGCGAGGATTTAGATACCAACAAGTCTGTAACCATCAGCTCAGGTGCATGGCTGGTGTCAGGCTCCTGTCCAGGAGTTCTGTGGGCATGGCCTGGTTTTGCTGCATGGTAACTCAGGAGCTTTGTCCCATGCACTTTAAATGTATGTGGTTTACATCATCTCACCGAGGCTTGAGGCTCCTCAGGGAATAGGATGTTGCAATGTGAAGTGCAGCAATGCCAAAATATTTTTAAAGTCTGAGCTTTAGCCAATTCTTTTTCAAGGACAGGGTATTCTCAACTCGATCCCAGTGTCTCTGCAGCAAGCACATCTCTGACTCATCAAAATCTCCCCAAAGCCAAATTGATTTCTTTTTTCTTGCTTTTTTTCCTTACATTTTAGCCACCAAAGTCAACAGAGCAACCATGATTTCCCCTCTCAGCAGGGAGCTTATGATGGCTCTGTGGCAGCATTATTGTTTGGGAGGGGAACTTTCCTCTAAGGTGGATTTCTCCAAATTCCAGGGAGCAGCTTTGCAGAGCTTCCCCAGGGGGGCACCAGGACAGGTAGAGCAGAACCAGGAAGGATCCCCTTCAATCACTCACCTCAAGTCTCCTGTTGCTAAATGTTCTGAGCAATGCATAATCCTGCTGAGTATTCCTCCTGTGTCCTGGCATCTCTGGTGATGTTTTGGGTGTAGATATAAATGTAGCCCTCTCAGCCTTAATCCTCATGTTTTCTGGAGTGATACAGTGAAAAACTGACAGCTGCTGGTAAGCTGTACTGTATTTTTCCACCCTTCTTTACTGCAAAGAACAGGAAATTAAGGGGTTGTTACATTAGAATTCCCCAAAGCTGTGTACCCTTCTCTTGGTCCTTTTTTTTTTTACACAAGGTATCCCTCCAGCTTCTTCAGAAATAGAGAGCCATGCCTGAAGATAAGTGGTGCTTGCAAAAAGTACAGAAAACTGTGTCTTTTTAGTATTAGACTTGACTTTTGGGAAGTTATTCTATGGTTCTGACTGAACCTTAAGCATTTTTAGAGCAGGATCTTATCACAAAGCTCAGAAGCAGAGCTGGAGTCAATGACACAAGAAATACGTCTCTGTATGAGCCCAGTTCCAAGGATGCAAGACACTTTCAAAGCCTGCATTACATTTTGATTCATATTTAAAATACCCCAAAATGTTAGTTTACTAAACATTTTCCTTTACACTTAATCTCTATGCACTATAAATAGTAAAAAGACTGATTAATATTTTACAATTCTATTTTTAGCTCAGGAAACCATATGCTTCTATTTTGCTGATTATGCCAGCACTGATAACAAATCTACTTAAAATGATACTGTGCTCCAGTTCCTGGACAGGAAGAAAATGCTTACAGCTTTAATGCCTCAGTGAGCAAAACATGGGAAGGATCATGGAGGCAAAAATGGGAAAAAAAGGACAACAATAGGTAGAGTATAAAGTAAAATATTTTTCTGGTGGTCCTAAAGAGCAGGTCCTTCCAAACAAGAGGGAAAGTGCTGGTAGAACCTGTTCTCCCTTTTTGCATCTGTTTCCCAGACAGAGGATTGACAGAGATTTGCATTCTCCAGATGCAAATCTGAAGTCATGTCCTAGTGTACACTCAGACAAAAGTCACTTAAAAAGAAAATACTAATACTATTTGCTGGATATTTAACAGTGAGCAATATCATTCTGTGCTTCGTGTTTTCATTTAAATTCTTTATCTCCTAGAAATACGGACAAAGAATATTTCAATTATACAGCCATGCATGTCTTTATATTAGGTTGAAATGTTTTAATAGATGTTTCAGTTATCCATTTATTGATCTTAATGCATTTTTAATATGCAGGCACCGGTCTCTGCTAACTGAGCTATATCAGCTTCTCCCTAGTTGAGTTCCACAAATTAAAAATAATTCTTTCTGTCTTTCAATAAATAGTATATGGTGGGCTTCTGTCTTGTGGGCAAAATGTGCTGTGAGCTGCCTTTCAATTTATGAGATTAATCTGTGCTCACAAAAGGAGATCTGAATGTGAGCAGCAAAAGTTGGCTGTAGACTGCAGGAGAAACAAGATCAGCGAGCTATGTTGACCTAAGATATTTTTTTCTTTTTCACACACTATTTGAGCCCTTCTTTTGGCAGAAAGAAGTCCAAAGCAGAAAACCATCTGTTCAAATAACTGTTTAAATAACAGTGTTGTTCCTTACTTCTGCTCCAAAAAGATTTCCTAGAAATTTTTGAGAAAGAACAAACTAAAAATATTTAATTCAGCTTTGAGATTCTGGACTGGACCTCCTGTCTTGTGGCCTCTATAGGAGGTCACAGTTCTCTATAGGATCTCTAAGGCTCTACCTGAAGATACCACTTGAGATTTGTGACATCTTATGTTTGGGTTATTGTGAATGAAATAACATTTTTCAGTGTTTGCAATTACATGTACTTAGTTTAGACAGATGAATGTGGGAGGATTTGTTTTCATCCATTCCAGCTGTGTTTTTGCCAGCCAGGGGCTCACTGGTTCCTGATTACAAGTGTTTTGCATCCCAGTAATTACACAGAGATGACCTCTGTACCAAATTATACCTCCCATGAAGCACTGCATGCTACAAGCAGAAATTGTTCCTTGTTTGATTCAAAAGTTGAGTGAATTTCTAGTCACTTGATTCAAAATCAGTGAGGAACTTTCTCTTGGCCTTTTGATGTGGGTGAAGGGTGATAAGCACTATATTCTGAGTTATTTTTCAATGCAGGTGTTTTGGTCACTTGGGCACTGGGATAACTGTGAACCTTTATCCTGTGATGATCTGGCTTACTCCAGCAGTTACCTTTGCACTTTGTGTCTCATTCTTTGTTGGTCAAAGGGAACAATAATTTCTATTTTGTAGAAAGGGCTATGGATTGATTGTGGTTATTTCCAATGCTAGGGTTCTCAAAGGAAATATCCCTTGTCCTGGTGAAGCTGGGATCTGATTGTGTTGAAATATCTTTGAAAATATAATCTTTTATAGTAAAGGTAAAGACATATTGCCAAGAGTCCCAACACGGGACATTAGCAATGAAAACAAAAATGTTATGAGATTTGATGTACAAAGGCAAAACACAATAAGAAAACCACCCAAAAAAGGTATTAACTTACTTACACATGAGGCAGGAATCCAAGAAAAAGTAGCAGTAGAGAAAAGTGAAAGGAAGATGGCTGTGTCTTCCAGTTTGGCAGACAGTGAGCAATGAGGAGAACAAAGGAAGAAATGAAACTTGTAGGGGCAAATGATAAACTCAGTATCAGAAAAAATATTGGATATGTTAGAAGTGCTGAGCATGAAGCTGGGGGGTGGTAAAACCTGACCCTGAGATTAGCTCAGCTGGTTAAAGCATGGTGCTAATAACACCAATATTGTGGGTTCAATCCCTGGATGGGCCATTTACTTAAGAATTGGACTCAATGATCCTTGCGGGTCTCTTCCAACTCAGAATGACCTGTGACTGGGAAAAGACATGAAAAGTCCTCTGAATTGCACAGCAACCAACTCAATAGTAAATGTGACAGATTTTTTAGCATAGTGAATTTGATTAGGTAGATGAAAATACCATTTCTTGTTACTACTTTTTGAGCCCTTCTCTTCACTTTACAGAATAATGAGGAGAAAAAAATTGGGAAGAAAAAAATCTTTTTGTCAGAGAGGAGAGGATATCCCTCATGCAACATCTTTTACCTGCTCAGCTGTAGCCTGGAGGTTATGTCATGTATTTTTGGTCTGTAGTCATGCATCTTTAAGGAGGTGATTCATCAGGGGAGCAGGGTGGCTGTACACCCTGTATCAGTCCAGTGGACAGCCACCATGCCCCTGGGAACTGAGTCCATCTTTAGGGGAAGCTGCATCCCCAGAGGGGCTCCAGGGAAGTAAAAGACATCTTCCACTTGCAACCCAAAGCAGAAGTGCATGTTTTTCACTCCCACCAATTCAGTTCTGTTGAGTTGATACACCTGTCATCTATCCTAGCAGGAATATGCTGCAGCCAGCTTTTTTCCTAAGCCTGTCCTGGTTTGCATCAGTTGCAGTTGTGTGGTGAGACTTGTTGTAGGGCAGAGTTTATTCTTCCCCATGCTGAGGGAGCTCACAGAGCATGTTTCCCACAAGACAGAAGCCCACCCTCTACTATTGATTGTAAAGAGAGTATTTTATCATATATTATGGAGCACTGACATGCTTTGCCACCTCAGTGCAAGACTGGCTCATGAGGTAGGGAGATAATATTTTCATTCATATTTGCATGAAGCTGGGGATACATTTCTCCTTGCAGAAATATGCCAGCAGGGTATAGAAAGGGCAGTTGATCTTTCATTGTTCTGTGAGCTTGGGGTTTTCCATGCAGAATGCATGAGTGGGTTCCTGAAAATTGAAAAAAAAAACCCCAAGCTCTCATCTCAAACTAGGGAGAATTAAGAGCCTGTGCCCTTTGTATAATTAGCTGACCCATTCATGGAAGACAAAAGGTGGGAGCACCAGTACATGCATCTATAAAATCTATTGTTTTATTAGTGAATTTTCATAGGAGTGGTCATAAAGACGCTAAAAGAGGGGAAATAGGATGCACTTGGCAATACACTAAATGAAAAACTGAGAAACATGAAATCTATTCCCAGCTTTTTCAATCTGTGTGTCTTTGGCAAATTTGCTTCCTTTTTTTTAACCTGTGTCCTTCTGCCTCAGCAAGCTCCTTTATAATCTCCAGGTTCACTAAATACATCACAAAAAATATGCAATTCCATGGATGAACTCTGCATTATGGTATGCTATATGTAAAAATGCAATTGAAAGGATAATTGTGCCTTTGTGTTAATCCGCTTGTAAGAAAAACCTGTAATCTGCCAGAACAGAATGTATAGGCTATTAACTTGTTTCCACACCAGTCTTTTGACAGCAGGCCATGAGGCATTAATAAATAGATATATTTCTCATGGGTTTGTGATTCATTTTTCCAGACTTATTAAAAAAATGTATCTGCAGGAGCAGAGGTGAAAGTTTGAAAACAATAAAACTTTCAGATCTATAAAAATGACATACTTATAATTGAATATTTCTAGGGCACTTCTTTGTTATGTAGGTGTTATAAAATCACATGACATAATGTCTGTAGATAGTGGGGGAAGCATTTGTGTATGTGTCTCTGTGAGGGTGGCAAGACTGTGCCATTAGCTCTGCAGCAATTTGCAAGAGAAGGGGCCCCTAAGATTATGGCAGTGATTCACAGAGAGAAGCAAAATCAGGAGACTTTAGCATTTTTGTCATCTTTTATGAGCTCTTCAGGGGTAAAAGAAATAAACACAAGTGAGAACCCTTTACCTTTGCAAAGTTAAGGACTTGTTTTGTATTTTGACAATATTATTAATGTCATTCTCTGTGTTTTGACTATCAGTCATTCACTGTGAGTTCATCTTATAATTTCCACTTCTGCCAGCACCTCTTCACCATTGGGAGAGTTCTGGAAACCAAACTGCTACTGCTAGCACTTCTTCCAGAAGACTAGACTCCTTCCCTTGAATAGGAAATTAGTGTCTGTACATTCCTTTCCAAGACAAATGTATGTTACACTGCAACCTAAGAAAGAAGTCCATCAGATTCTTACTTAAATCCACGCCTTTGCAGCTAATGATGTTTGGGAGGATGTCACCTTGCTGGAATTGGTGCTATGTTGACTTTTTCCTTTCTTTCAGGAATGGGCTGCATTCTAGTTTAACAATCTCTATAATTTCCTAAGCTGTCTTCCCAAATGGTCTCTTTTAAATGATACAATCAATGCAACCCTCCTATTTTCAATAAAGGATGTTCTGAACTCAGGTGTGCTGACTAGAATGGATGAGGAGAAAATCATAAAACACTGAAAAAACCCCCAAACAAATACACAAAGCAAAAAGCAAAGGTAATGTCCATGTTGTTATACAGCCACAGTAATCCATGGCATGTGTGGTCTCTTCCAATTACTAACTGAGAAGCTTTTTATGGATGGACTGAAGACAGGAAATGCTTGCTGTCAATGCCTTAGCAATTGTAAAAATTGTAATTATACCCCACCTTAAATGCAAATAATTAAAAGCAAGTGTCTTTTCAGCCTTTTATTCCTCTGTTTATCATTTTGGAAATGATTTATCTGGGAATGGGCACATCTGAGCAGGAAAAACAGGCAATAATTACAGAAATCACAGATGTTCCAAACAGTCTGCACCAGTGGAATTCCTCTCCAGAAGTCTGCAGAGGTTTTGCCCCTATTTTTCAGAGCAGCTGTCAGAACAGTTGGATTACTGATGCCTATTTACAGGCATAATGCCCGTTGTAACATCTCTGAAAGTATTGTGCTCCTGGAACAGGATTCAGTTCCATGTTAAGAGAAATTAATTTTGGTGTCTGAGTTCCCTGGCTGCCTGTGCAGCTGGGGAGATGTGGTCACAGCAGTGAGAGGAGTCCAGAGAGCTGTTCAGCTGACTGAATACAGGGAGCTGAGCACCTTTCCATGCCCACAGGGATTCACAGCTGCATATTCAGAGGGCAGGGGGAGGTTTTGGTGGTTGCAGATGAGCAGTGTGCCATAGTGGGCAAAGTCCTTTGGTGAACTTTGCAATGTTTGAGTGACTAACCATTAACACCTCTGTCTCTCAGAGTACCAAATTCCAGCACCAGTCTGGAACTGAAAATCTCATCTAGGGTTTTACCATCCTGGCCTTGGTGATGGTCCTTAGCTCAAAACACTTGAAATAGTCATCCTAAATATGTACACTGTAGGTATATAGGCAGCCTCCTACAGTGGATATCCTCTGCTCCCTCTGGAGTCCAGGGACACAAAGGGTACTTTATAAACATGTTTTATACATCCTATGGTGAAGAAGTATTTTAAAATTAAATAAATAATAATCTGTAAGTATCTACTTCTCTCTAGGGTTTATAAACAGCATCAGTTTGAAACCCAAGATGATTTTCATTGCACCAGCTTAATGAAGCCTTAATAACTGCACCCAGAGTCTAGGCTGCCATTAAATCAGAGTCACTCCTCTAAGTGCAGTCAGTCATGTGTGATCCATGTATTCACCCACAAATTGAGAGGTATCCACTCAGGATGCAGCAAATCATTTCCCACACTCCAGGGGTGATACTGAGTAGGTTTCATTGGTTACAAAAAGAGGAGAAGGTTCCCTACATTGTACAAATTGTGCTGAGTCTTATGAATTTTATTATCAACATCCTCTTGAGCAATTAATTTAATCTTACGTAATAGGAAGTGACAATGCTCTGAAGCAGGTGTTAGGGGTGTAAAATACTCTTTATTGTAGAGCTCAAGGTTGCTTCTCCTGTCTCCATCCTTAACCAACAGAACACAAATAAAACTTAAATAAGACACTGGTGCTTATATTCAGTATGAGGAAAATGTTCAAGTCCTTGTCTATCCAGTAAAATATGTATATATTTTCTTTATTTTTGTTTAGATTTTTGCTTTTGGGTTTTCTGTTTGTTTGTGGGTTTTTCTTGTTTGTTTTCATTGTGGGGTGGGTTTTTTTTGAGAGTTTGTTCGCTTGACTTTTGGAGCAGTTTTGGATTTTTCAGATCAAATACTCTTTGGAATGAGAGGGTTCAAATTGAAAAACCACAGTTCTTTAACCTTCTGCTCAAGCCACCTAGATTGTAAGAGATTTCCACTGCACATTTTCTTGTGGAGGAACAAACAAACAAACATTGGTGGAAGCATTTTTTGTGCTTCATCAGGCTGAGCACTGTTAGATTATTACATTTGCATTTCAAGGAGTAGTGCACGCCTGAGTGGGTTGTTACAAGCAATTCATACAGGAGCATAGGGAGGATTTTTTAGAGGGGGGGCTGTCTGTGCTGCTTGTGAAGAAAAAGAGAAGGATCAGAAGAGAAGGCACTGCTGGATCTCTCCTTGGCTTTTGGATTGAATGGAGGATTTTCCAGTTTGTTGAGAGGCAGCCCACACCTGACTGGGATCACCAAACACAGAATCCTGCAGTGAGAAACTGCATAGGATGTTTCTGGAGTGGCTCTAAGGTGCTTGTAGCTGCAGGAACTCCTGGAGAATCCTCTGAAGCCAGAGAGTTTCCAAAGTAGTGGTCTGTCCCCACACTGCTTTTGCCTACTGGAAAGCAACAAGCCCAGGTGTAAGGGCCAGAGAGCAGCAGGAATGTCACCATCAGCCACGTAGAACCTCTGGGAAGCTGTTCTAACAGGACACTGGAGACAGAGAGGGCACATTAAAAACTACTGGGAGTTTTGGGAGGGCAATGGAAAAATAACTGCCTTTTTTTCAAGAGCTGCTTGCCTCATGAAAAGATTTGATGCTTTCAGATGACATCCTCATCTTCTAAAAACATGTTCCAATTGGTAATATGCACTTGGACAATTTGTTCTGAAAAGC